GGAAAGAAAGAATGAGAGATCCTCAACAACGAAAAAGCTTACGATGTTGGGTTATTTGGTGCTAGGAGCAGAAAAATGAGCTGCACTGTGAACCAAATGGTAAAGAGAAGCCGTTTGCTACACCTGAAATATCATAACTTGTTTAGAAAAATCCAACACAAGAACTGTAAAACTAACTGTAAGAAATGGAACTGAATTTTTAAAAATCAGAACCTGAACCTGTTTGTAAGAAGAATTTTCTGGCTTAAGACCACCATTAACGCAAATCTTGTGGCTGCCTCTTAGAAATTTTTTTTAAAAATGGGTCCCACCACAATATTAAGAGTTTCCCCTTCTAACTCTTCCGTAAGAGGTGAGTTTAGTAAGGTTTTGTGCACTATTCGCTGGCCGCACTCATACGTGGCGGCCCGCGATTGGTTTGATTATTATTACTAGTATTATTTTTTAAATCATACAAAAAAATAAAATCAAAACTAAAAACCTAGATCTAAGAATTTACTGTTAATTACGAATCCACGATAGATTCTCGGCTTATACGATTCGTCTGGTTAGAATCAAGCATCTCACCGAGGACAATTTTTTGGTCTCTCGGAAGTGCTGACCAAAAGTTTAGATTTCTTTTATAGCGCTATTACCCTTGTATCGGGTGTTCAAGAGCTATATCTGTGAGATAACTTAAGTTTGTTTAGGACTATTGCGAGTTTGTTGTGATCAGCAACAAACTTTTAGGTAGTAGGTGTTAACGTTGTTTGGACCTTTGCAAAGGAATTATTTCTTAAGAAGCTATGTATGTCCTTTTATAGTCGCGGACGAACTGCTTATTGTTGTTTTTTTTGGAGAGAAAAAATTTCTTTCGAACATTGGCAATGTGTCGATATATTCATGATTTCGTTTTTTCTCTCGCTGCGTTGCGGATAAAAGTTTGAGAAATTTCGAGTTCGGAATTTCAGGAGTATACGAGTATACGTATACTCACCTACCCACTCTTTTTATTGAGGGGGGGGGGACAGCTGGTCTTGTCTTGCGAGAAGATGCCTACGTACCCTTTAGGGGGGATCAAGCTATCTCGTAGTTCAGTGTTTTATGGGGCGTTGCCTAGTGATAGTATTTTTTGAGATGCATCGCGTTCCACGATCGGGGAATTTTGGTGCCCTGCATGTTTGCAATTACGTACGCTCCCGGCCGGACTAACTTTATGACCATGTATGGTCCTTCCCAGTTGGCTCCCAGTTTTCCGGCGTTTCGTTCTGCGGTGTTTTGGAAGACTTTTCGTAAGACTAGTTCGCCTTCATGAACCCTGCGGCCTCGTACGTTTGAGTTATAGTACTTTGCTGCCGCTTTCTGATAGTTCAGAATTCGGACGAGGGCCTGATCCCGTTGTTTATTAACCAAATCGAGTTCGCTGAGCAGCATTAGGTTGTGTTGGTGTCAAAATCGGTCACGACGGAATCAATGGCTAAAAGTCTCCGCAAAAGTAAAAATAAAAATACGTTTTATAAAACTCGGGAGATCGTTTTATAAAAATCTAAAAATCGTTTGATGGTACCGCTTGCATCGAATTCAACCACGGTGTCCCTACAATTGCGTTGTAGGACATGAGCCGTTCGACGACTAGGAATTTGACGTTTTTGACTACTCTTTCGGCTCGAAACGTAAGGTTGATCGTGCCGAGAGTCATGGTAATTTCTCCCGAGAGTCCTACTAGCAAGCTTGCGTTTTCCGCGATTTCATACAGATCGATTTCCATTCTCTCGAGAGTGTTTTTGAAGATGATATCTGCCGAGCTTCCGGTATCGACTAATATCCTTGCGACATCCATAGCGCCAAACTTTGGGAACCGAAATTCACCTACTGTCAAGATATCGAAATAAGGGAATTTAGAGTAAACCCTAATTTCCCAGAGGACCCGGGTATCTGCGGAACCGCAGACAAACAACCAAGAACGCGATTAATATGAATGAATTTAAAGAGATGTTAAGAAAAACGAGACAGACAGCAAAAGGATTTTTATTCCGAATTCGCGTAAGGATGGTACAACAAGAGTAAGCCTTAGCTGCGTGAGCCGTCGGCGAGATTCTTAACCCTAGCTATCTAAGACTAAAACCCTAGTTGAGACGCAGCTCGATAACGAAAATGGAAATATTCCTAAATGCTAAGTTTGGTGGTGAAAGCTCTGAAAACTCGTCGTCTGCTTCTGTCCTCTGCCTATTGTTTATATACTCCCTTCCTAGATGGTTTAGTCCTTCCATTTCGCCCAGATTCGAGTTAATCGAGAATCTTCCATTTATCTCGATCTTTCCTTTTTTTCCGCGGAAATCATCTATTTATCCTTAAACTTGACATTTATCTTCAAACCTGACATTTATCTTCTTTCTGCGAGTAAATCGTTAAATCGTCGTCGTATATTTGGGCTGGACTATCTTAAAGTCGCAAGTTGGCTTTTATCGTGTTTTAAGACTTTCCGAGCCGTTCCGCGATAAAATCGTTTTACGACTTTAGACGAGGTCGTTTCCTGATGCGATGCCGTTTGTAAATAAGTTTCTCGAGTTAATTGTATAGTTTGGCCATGTTCGATGTTTCGTTAATCGTTTCCGTTTTCTATGATTTACTCGAGGTTTTACTAAAAACATGTTTTTTACAATTTCTCACGAAAAATCTCGAGTAAGTCGTATAGTTTAGGAAATGTTTGGTGTTTTGTGTAATTTTTTCCGTTTTATACGATTTCCTTGAGTTCTTTCGAGAAAACAAGACTTTATTGTCTTTATCGTAAAACTTGAGCAATAGGACGGATCGAGACGAAACAAGAGAGATTTTGACCGTGGATCGGAACATTATCGTGCTGAAAGACGTTTTATAGAACTCGAGAATCGTTTTATAGAACTCGAGAATCGTTTTATAGAACTCGTGAATTGTTTTATAAAACTCGTGAATCGTTTTATAGAACTCGAGAATCGTTTTATAGAACTCGAGAATTGTTTTATAAAACTCGAGAATCGTTTTATAAAACTCGAGAATCGTTTTATAAAACTCGAGAATCTTCTTATAAAACTCGAGAATCGTCTTATAAAACTCGAGAATCGTCTTATAAAACTCGAGAATCGTTTTATAAAACTCGAGAATCGTTTTATAAAACTCGAAGAATCGTTTTATAAAACTCGAAGAATTCTAGAATCGTTTTACGAAACCGCAAAAAACCGAAACAGCCGAAAAACGCGAACTAGTCACGACTAGTTCGCCCATGGGCGAACTAAAAACTTCTTGGACATCCCGCGCCTCGATTTCCCGCATCCGCGATTCAAAACTTACGTCTTTCGACACGATCGCATTCTAAACTACGGCTAAAACGTCTCCTGTCCCATCTCGATCCGACTTATCGTTCGAGTTTTACGATAAAGACCTCGAGGAAATCGTATAAAACGGCCAAGGTTAAACGAAACACCGAACATTTCCTAAACTATACGATTTATTCGAGATTTCTCGTTAAAATCATAAAAATGCGTTTTTTAATAAAAAACGCCGAGTAAGTCATAAAAAAACGTGTTTTTAATAAAAAGTCGAGTAAATCGTAAAAATTTGCGATTAACTCGAGAAATTTATTAAAAACGACGTCAGATCAGGAAACGGTCCCGTAAAAGTTGGAAAACGGTTTTTTATCGCAAAACGGCCCGGAAGGACCTAGACACGATAAAAACCCAACTCGCGATTTCAACGGAATCTAACCCGCAGATTTGATAACGTTTGACGGTTTACTCGCTGAAAGAAAATAAAGGCAAGTTTGAAGATAAATAGAAGATTTCCGCGGAAGAAAAGGAAGGATCGAGAAAAATGGAAGATTCCCGAAATACTCAAATCCGGCAAAATGGAAAGATCGAACCGTCAAGGCAAGGAGTATATAAACCAGAGGCGTAGGGCAGAAGAGGGGGACGAGATGAGACCTAGAAAAGACGGCTGTTAGCTTAGGAGTTTAGGACTTAGCGTTTAGACTAGCAATTCAGATTCTTAGAACGTTTCGACGTCTAAGTTCTTCAATTCTTCTTGTAACAGTTGTCGATTCTAATTCAATAAAAACTCTCATTCAAATTCTTACTCTTTATTCTTCATTGTTCATCCATATTCTTTTAAACTCGTTTGTTTTAGTGATTTTCGCAGAGATCCAGGACCTCGGGAAAATTAGGGTTTCACCCTAAGTTTCCATATNTTCTTACTCTTTATTCTTCATTGTTCATCCATATTCTTTTAAACTCGTTTGTTTTAGTGATTTTCGCAGAGATCCAGGACC